CACGTGGCTGTCCAACGCCAGAGAAGAAAAATAAAATCAGGACAAAACAATCCAACATTATTAAGAACCTTTGAGCACTCGTGGATGATTCCAACCTTAGTTAAGCCAGGAGAAAAGAGATACTGGAATTTTAGGAAAAGAATTCCCGCAGAATGGCACTTACCCTTCTCACGGAGGTGAATAAAGCAAGGAAGGTGAAGTGAAGAGCCCTGGCTTGGGAGAGCTTTTATACAGTTCCCAAGATCCCAGGGATCAACTCAGGAGCAATTTGTGGACGTGCCTAATTGGGGCCAACCCAAAACTAATACGACACGTAAGGCCCTCAAAGTTTTGCTGACTCTTTGTTTGTTTGTCGGATTCCGAGTCTCGTGAAACGCGATGGGGGCGTTTCGTGGCGGAAAAAGCCCTTTCATCTCCCGTGGTGACATGTCATATTTATTCCTGTTATCATCCCATTCACATCCCTGGCGTTGCAGCAGGAATTAGCCTAATAGCCCTCCCTTAGCTTCTCCCCTGTTGATGGCAGAAACCCGTCTGCTCACCTGAGATGCGCGGTTTTATTCCTATTAAATCCAGGGTGGGACAGACCTGGGAGAGCAAATTCTTTGGAGCAACTCTGGGGTCGTCACGTTGATCTTTAGAGCTGCTCAGTGCTTAATTGTACACCCAAATTGCTTCCTTTGTTGTGCATTCAGCCATGGGTTGCTCTCCCCGTCCTTTTCTCAAACACTGGGGAGTCCTTCGGGACATTTTGAGCAGAAGGCAGAGATAGAACATCCTTTGAAAGCACCCACACTTTTCTAACAGCTCTCTCTCCTACTGTGCTTTACAGAATCACAGAATGGTGGAATGGTTTGGGTTGGAAGGGACCTGGAAGATCATTTCAGCCCCTGCCACGGGCAGGGACACCTTGCACAGGTTGCTCCAAATTCCATCCAACCTGACCTTGGACCTTCCAACCCAGGTTGGGGCCTAGAGACAAACCAAGGCTCCCAACTGTAGATGGGGAGGACAAACACGCAGAAACCGCCCCCAAACTTCCTGCAAGTCACATGGACAGGTTGTAAATTCTGTCGGGGTAGCTTGTAATGGGAATTACAGCCACTTAAACAAATACCCCCTCCATGACACCGCAGTTTGTAATCCCCTTAAACCCCTGAGCCATTCTCCAAGTGTGAAATTAATACCAAGAGGAGCTGGCTCAGGAATTTCTGCTGCAATTCCAAGGAAGCGACGGGAACAACGCCAAGGACTAATTTCACCCCCCTAAGTCCGTCACAAGATGAAAGGATTCCCCATAATCTCAGGATGTGTTTGGATCATTGTTACAAACAAATCTGAAAGGCCTCATAAAGGCCGGTAATGAACCCAACAATTTCATCACCTCGTGGTGTTGACGCGTGTTCGAAATTGGGGCGGGCATCCCGTGCTGCCCTTGGACCTCTGAGCTCTGATATAAAAGCTCTTCTCTCTCCTCGCTCCTCCAAACGCTTCCCTTGACTTTCTCCGTGACTTGGGTAAGTCTGATCCTTCCCTGGTGCTCTTGGGGTGTCTCTCTGGTGTTGGTTTCAGCTTGAGTTGGTGTCCCCCCGTTCTGTTGGTGCATCTGCATTGACTCGTGGCAGGGGTTTTAAAGAAGAGGCCCTTCTGTCTCTGGAGGGGGCAGATACACCAGTTTGGGGCATGGAGCTCTGTGGAGTTCTTGGTGTAAGAAACACTTTGGAGCAACTGGGCAATGCTCTAAGTCAGCTGAGATGACTGGAGCCCTCCCCATTCCCCTCTGGAGACAGGCTGGGAGAGCTGGGAATGTTCAGCCTGGAGAGGAGAAGGTGGTGTGGACACTTCAGAGCATCCTCCAGCATCTGAAGGGGCTACAGGAGAGCTGGAGAGGGATGTTCATCAGGAACTGGGGTGACAGGACAAGGGGCATGGGTTCAGATTGACAGAGAGGAGGTTTAGTTGAGATATTGGGGAGAAATTCTTCCCTGTGAGTGTGGGCAGGCCCTGGCACAGGTTGCCCAGAGAAGCTGTGGCTGCCCCTTTATCCCTGGAAATGTCCAAGGCCAGGTTGGGCAGGGCTTGGAGCAACCTGCTACCATGAATCTTCTGGCTTCCCTTTACTTTCTTGTTTTCGTGTTCCTCCTCAAGACTCTGCTAAGGGCTTTCAGGACTCAGTTAGAGAGAGATTTGAACTTTATTGTCTTGTCAAATGGCTTTCAGAACAACCCAGGCATTTGCAATCCTATAATCTGTTGTTCCCTTGGCTCTCATCAAAACTGGGATAAGTGGGAAGATCAAGCTACTGTAATTAAGTTCTACATAAGCTACATCTCATGTAAACATGCTGAACCCAAATCCAAGTTCTCCTCCTGACTCATCAAAACGACCTTGGGCAAAGTCGCTTTGTTCTCTCTCTGCCTTTGCTCCTCGGTTTTTGGTTTTTAGTGCCTGAAAAACACCTCTCAGTTCTTCTCAGGATGTTCTGAGGGATGGGGCTTTCTGAGCAAGGTGGGGGCATTTCCCACACACTTTGCACAGGAAAGGTTTGGAGGGTTTTTGAAAGCCTTAAGGTTGCAACGGGAGAAATCAATTTATTCCCTCAGAACGCTGCGCCTGGCTGGTTATTTTTTAACGCTGATTTTTGAACTCCTTGTCTTCTCTTCAGCCTAACCCTCCAGTGTGGGAGCTCCCATCCCTGCAAGATGTCCTGCTACGACCTGTCCCCCAGCTCTGCCTGCGGCGTCCTCCGCCCCCAGCCCCTGGCTGAGAGCGGCAACGAGCCCTGTGTGCGGCAGTGCCCCGACTCCACCACTGTGATCCAGCCACCCCCCGTGGTTGTCACCTTCCCCGGGCCCATCCTCAGCTCCTTCCCTCAGGATTCAGTCGTGGGATCCTCCGGAGCCCCCGTTCTCGGAGGCTTTGGGGGCTCCCTGGGCTATGGGGGTTATGGATCCTTTGGTTATGGGGGATATGGATCCCTGGGTTATGGGGGATATGGATCCCTGGGTTATGGGGGTCTGTGGGGCTATGGGGGCTCCTCCCTGGGTTATGGGGGTCTGTGGGGCTGTGGGGGCTCCCGGGGTCTGTATGGCTATGGCAGATCCTTTGGCTCTTGCAGCCCTTACTCCTGGTACGGCAGGTACGGCCGTGGCAGCTGCTGGTCCTGCTGAACCCCGTGGAAATACCCCCTGATTAAGGAACAATCACCATCTGAGGGGTTCAATCTCAATCCACAATGGTGGCCCCAAAGAGGTGGTGTTGTGACCACTGCCAGCCCCAGCCCAGTGGAGCTGGGAACACACAACACATCCTGAATTTTTTCGCTGTCTACTCGTGGTCTTATGGGTTTTTTCTTCCTGTCTGTGTGCAATGAGTGGGATAAAACACGTCATTTATATTCTTCTAAAATGCAACGTCGCTGTCCAGCTGAAGGAGAACAATTCTGGAAGGGGTTCCCTGCAACCTGATGTTCTTGATATCCTGCAATGCTTTCCTGTGAACGCTTATTCCTCATTAAACTGATTCTGTTCTGCATCAAACAAATGAACTTTGAGTTTTAATTTATGCATTAATGGTTACACACTGCTCTGCTCTTTAAATGGGGAAAACTCACATCCTTGCACAGGTGAAGGGTAAGGATGAGACCACAGCTGGAATGGCCCAGCTCTGAGTGAAATCAGTGCACTCAGAGCACTTTTTTGGGAGCAGGAACCCTCCTGGCCTGCAATAATTGCACTGTGGAGTCAGAGAGTCCTAGAATAGTTTGCTCCAACAATTCCACAGCCTTCTAATATTTGGAGCACCAGAACTCAGTGTTCCAAGTGGGATCTCATCAGAGCAGAGGGGGAGGATTTATATCCAGGCTGAGACATTTTCTACCCTAAAGTTTTCCAGCCATAACTCTGTTCTCTCCTGATTCCTGCTGGTGTGGATGAATTAGCCCTTTGGAGCAGCTGTTTCTCTGCTTAAAACCACCCAACACTTTTGATTTCGTTATTACACAGACAGTCCATCCCCACACTTCAGATTCCAAATTCCATTGTGCGGCCCAGGAAACTTTATTTAAGGATTTGACAGAAAATTGACTCAACTTCTGCAGAAACAATGACTGAGGGCAGAGTTTAAGTATTTGAGGGAAAACCTGAAGTTCAAAGAGAGAAAAGATTTACCTGGAAGAAATTCTTACTGAAGCCAAATGTGTTTAGGAAAGAGTTTCAAGTTAGTGACCCACTATTTAATTTCTCTCCCACTGTAACCAGCAGAGCTACAACCAAGAAACCAAATTCCTCCAAAATGCCCATGAAAAACAAGGAGGGCAGGACAGTAACTCCTGCTGTGCCAGCGGCTTCCCACTGCTCTTGGACGTTTGAAATCTCTGACTGTTTTGGGTAGGACATTCATCTCCAGAGTTTAAGGGCTGGTTGGATGAAGCTCTGAGCAGCCTGGTCTGGTGGAAGGTGTGCCAGCCCATGGCAAGGGGCTGGAACTAAAGCAGCTCTAAGGTCCTTTCCAACTCGAACCATTCTATGATTCTCTGATAGTTTAGGCTGTTACTGACACACCTGCCCAGGTGAGGCTTCTCCCAGGACAAATAACAAGGGTGAAAACACGAGTAAAGACCACCAGAACATGGCAACTTGTGATGCAATAAAGCTTTTAATGATAGCGAGCAAAGGAATCCATTTCAGAGTCTCCAGGAAAGTTAAGAAACTGTTCCCCAGCCAGAGGTACGTCCCCATGTGATTGATCTGGGGGTGTTTTTTTCTGAGGCTCAGCCGTTGGTTTGAGCAAACAGGATCTGTTTTGAGCACTTCTGTCACGTGTTTACCCCGGGCAGTTCGGAAGGCAGGAAAATGGAAGCGGAAACGAAGGGGAGAAATTCCAAAAAGGGGCCGAAGGGCTGCAGCTCCCAGGCCTTGGGATGGGGCAGCCGTGGTTCCGAGCTCTTGGCCTGTGGGACCGTCACATCTCAGCCCTCACTTGGGATGTGTCTGAGGGGCTCAGCAGGACCCGCAGCTGCCGCGGCTGTACCTGCTGGACCTGGAGGAGTAAGGGCTGCAAGAGCCAAAGCCAAAGGATCTGCCATAGCCATACAGACCCCGGGAACCCAGGGAGGAGCCCCCATAGCCCCACAGACCACCATAACCCAGGGATCCATAACCCCCATAGCCCAGGGAGCCATAACCCCCACAGCCAAGGGATCCATATCCCCCATAACCAAGGGATCCATATCCTCCATAGCCAAGGGATCCATAACCTCCATAGCCCAGGGATCCATAACCCCCATAGCCAAGAGATCCATAACCCCCATAACCCAGGGATCCAAATCCCCCATAGCCTCCGAGGACGGGGGCTCCGGAGGATCCCACGACTGAATCCTGAGGGAAGGAGCTGAGGATGGGCCCGGGGAAGGTGACAACCACGGGGGGTGGCTGGATCACAGTGGTGGAGTCGGGGCACTGCCGCACACAGGGCTCGTTGCCGCTCTCAGCCAGGGGCTGGGGGCGGAGGACGCCGCAGGCAGAGCTGGGGGACAGGTCGTAGCAGGACATCTTGCAGGGATGGGAGTGAATCTGTGAAAAGTGTTCACTTATTAATATTAGAGAGGCATCAAACATTAGGTTGGGCTGGAACAGCCCAACAGGGTATCAGAGAGAAATCTGGGAAGCATTTCCTATTGCTTTTCTTCCTATCACCATAAATCCCTAGGCCAGTCCTGACTCTGGTGCAACAAAGTCATGTTCTCTTCAATTTTATCCAACAAATTCTTGCACTTTTCAGTTGGATCTTTGGAATTTCCAGTTGGGATAATTTTGGCAGTATTACATTAGGTGGTTTCTACTTGCTAAGTTTGCTCTTTGCTGTTACAAACCCAGCAATACTCCACCAAATGCAGCCACACACAACAATGTGTATGAGTTATTCTTTGCCTCCTAAAATATAGTCAAGGAGTTCTTTGAAGGGCTAAAATGCTGCAGATTTGGGATTAAAAACTACTTGATGCACCCCTCTCCTGGTGCCTGTCTTTACAAGGCCTGCAGATGGATGAGAACTCAGAGATCATTTCCAGCAGCAAATATCCTACAGATCAGTGGCAACCTGAGAGGACTCGGTCCTAAGTGACAACCCAGAGCTCTTGCCAGCAAGTTTAGAGAAGTCTGAGAGAAAAAAAGTCTGACTTACCTGGTTCACAAGGGTGGATGAGCTGAGAGAAGTGGATGGAAAGACCTTGGGTGCAGAGAGCTTTTATAGAGCCCTGAGCTTGCCTGGAGGACGTTGGGCACCTGACGGGTGAGTTCATAATTAGGTCCCAACCCCAAATTGCAGGGCACATAATTCCCCAAAGTGCTGAAATTGTTTTTGCTTACTGCTTGTGCGTTGCAGGCACTTCAAACCCACACAGAGCGTGACATGCACATTCCACCCCGGACCTCTATTGTCTCCAGGCTTTAGGTGTGGAGTTATTTTTTATTATTCCATTTTTATTATTCAATTCCAGCTGACTTGATTTCTTTAAGAGTCCTGCTTAATTAGGATGATAGGAGGACACTCATTCTTTTACTGTAATCAACAGGATACCTGGAGCCAAATGGAATTTCTTTCAGGATCTCAAATGAGGGGACAAATAACAAGAGGGTAAACCCATTTGTTTCTGCAGGCTCAGCACTTCTGCCCCCACCTGCTCAATGCAAGGCAAACACAACCATCAGGAGCATCTGTTAATGGCTTTTACGTCACAGAATCATATCATGGAATGGAATGGGTTGGGTTGGAAGGGACCTGAAAGATCATCTCGTTTTACCCCCTGCCATGGGCAGGGTCACCTTCCACTGTCCCTGGTTGCTCCAGCCTGGCCTTGGATACTCCCAGGGATGGAGCAGCCACAGCTTCTCTGGACAAGCTGTGCCAAGGCCTCCCCACCCTTACAGGGAACAATTTATCCCTAATATCCCACCTAAACCTCCCCTCTGTCAGTCTGAACCCACACCCTTTTCCTGTCACTCCATCCCTCGTCCAAAGTCTCTCCCCACATCCCTTGTAGCCCCTTCAGGTCCTGGAAGGCCCCAGTCAGGTCACCCCAAAAGCTTCTCTTCTCCAGGCTGAACAATCCCAACTCTCCCAGCCTTTCTGATGGATCAGAGCTGCTCCATCCCCTCTGCTCAGCTCCTCTGGAGTTGCTCCAGCAACTCCATGTCCTCCCTGGGCTGTTCCCCAGGGCTGAATCCCCCCTGCCCTCCTGCCATAGGGAGGGTTCTGGGCTGGGTCATGTCCAGTCTCTCCCCCACAAGCCCCCCCCAAGTCCTTCTCCATCTACTCATCCTGGATTGATCCTGGGGGGTTGCCCCAACTCAGGTTCAGCACCAGCATTTGTCTTGTTAAACTCAAAATCTCAACTAGTTCTCTTCCAGTCCCTGGGAACAGCAAAATATTTCCACTGGGACCCAAAATCTGTGGAAACTGAGTTTTCTGAGTCGTTATACCAAGCTTTGCTTTCCTTTACTGTGTTTTCTCCTCCAACTGTTACATATTTGAGACACACTGACATGCACTTTAAATTAAAAAAAAAGGCACAATTTTATTTTTAAAGTCAAAGGAAGGTCAAAAAGTGTTATAAACCACGAGCTGATTACGGGAAAAACCCCAAGTGACCTCAATTTACCTATTTAATGTGATAATCTCTCCTAATAGTGGGGTGGATGCATTATCCAGGCCTACATTGTGTAGAACTATGACACAGTATGTACAACTTAGTGATGGGTGTTCATGTGGTATTTGAAAATCCCTTGGAATGTCCTTGTAAAACCTTGACATGGGTCGTTTTGTTTTGTTTTTTTTTCTTCCAGGATAATAGCTGGGGAAATCTCCATACGTATCTCCAGATTTGGAAAAGCTCATAATTTATAAATAATACGTGGCGTGCAGATAAGCAGGTTGGCGATTATGATAACGAGGATAATGACAGTGTTACAGGAATGGTGTAAACAGAGAAAGAAACCTCAGCAAAAGGCAGCATTTGCCTTTCCCAGCAGATTCCCACCCCCTAATTGCTCCCTGCTGAAAGATGCCACCAATGATGGGATTAACTGCGAGATCCTCTGGAAAAACAAAGGGTTTTTATTTCTGCTGCAGCTGAATTTGGGGGTTCTCCTAATACAGAATGGTTTGGGTTGGAAGGGACCTTGAAGATCATCTTGTTTTGAGACACCTTCCACTGTCCTGAGTTGCTCTGAGCCCCGTCCAACCCTGGCCTTGGACACTTCCAGGGATGAGGCAACCATGGAATAACCTGTGCCAGGGCCTCCCCACCTTCTGCAAAAACATCTCAGGAAACCATAAATTCAGTTATTAATTCAATAATTCAAGCTTTAAGCCGCAGTTTGAGGGTCAGAGAAAAGCTTTCTGGACATGTGTCCCAAAACCATCCCCTGATTTTAGGATTTCTGATAAATGTCTGATTAATCTGAGTGTTGTCTCAGGAGGAGAAGGACATCAGTGTATAACTAGCTCTGGTTACACGTGGTGCAATGGCAAGAGAGGGCAGAAAACTGATATTAATGGCATGAATCATGTTTTAGGATGAAAGATGCGCTCGTTTCACCCATCAGCCTTCCAGATGAAAGGCGTGACGTAAAGAGGAGACCTGGAATCAAGAAATCAACACCAACAGAAAGAGCAGCAATTTCGTCACTTTGCAAGGCTATCAATACAAAAAAAAAATGTGCTGTGTCACCTAATTAGCTGCATGTTCATTAAATCAAGCCTCTCACCCCTCGGGCACTCTGAACTGTATAAAAGCTGCCTCCGCTCGGGGTTGTCCCAACGTCTTCTCTTCACTCGTTCGTCCCAACGACCTGGTAAGTCTGGAGCTGCTGTTTCCAACTCTTGGAATGTCTCTTTGCTTAAAAATTTATGTGTGTGTGTGTGTGTGTGGGGAAAGATTTATCTGGGGGTGGTCTCTTCCATTAAGAACTAGCAGGCAAAATTTTAGGGGAAAAGGTGATAAGGCTTGAAAAGTTCTTATGGACATCTTAGGGCCATCATTTAATTTCTTGGTAGGGCAGAAAATGTAGTTTGATATTGGGCTGCTTCTGGTTGTATCCATGAAATGAGACTGGTTCACTATTTATTCATCTTCTCTTGTTTGTTTAAATGGGTGACTGGAAATTATTTGGAAAATTAATCTTCATGGTTTGAAGGGCTTATAAGCCGTCCTGCCATTATATCCAGATTATCCTGTTAAAAATCATCCAAAATGCTTTTAATTCAAGATAAATGGGCATGAGATCAGGCACTAGTTTAGAGCAGGACAGAGGGGGACTGGGAGATGTTGAAAATGTTCTGTGAGACATTTATTTGGGATAAAAAGGGGTCATGGAGGGAATTTAAGGAGCTGAAAGGTGAAGTGCTGGGTTTTCTTGTTAAATTGTTTGGTGTGAGACTTTTTCAAAATAGTTCAGAGCCCAAAATCAAAATGCTGTGGCGTTAAGCGAGTTGTAAATATCTCAGTGCCCTGATTCAATGTTTGGAAGTTTGGCACAATCACCTCTGCAATTCCCTCGTAATGGTCTCATCAAACAAGCTCCTGAGCAAATCTGAACAGACAATGCGTTCTAATCCCTGTTTTGACAAGGATCAGCACAAAGGAGATCAGTGGGAATGGAGAGCTAGTCATGAAATCCCGAGCAACAACGCACTGGGAGTCCCACTCCATGCTGAGCCTCTGACTCACCGGAGCAATCCGAGCAAACAATTTTGCTCTTCTGCTCCAATTTTCGTGTTTAACAGACATGGGGGAAACCTGCGGCGCCTTCGGGGCGCTCTTGGGCGAGGGAACTCCACAGCACTTTTGTGGAAGGTGAATAATTTTGTCTTGTTCTTGGTCAAATCAACTCCTGCAGATCGACCTCCACCCCCCACTGCAAGATGTCCTGCTACGACCTGTCCCCCAGCTCTGCCTGCGGCGTCCTCCGCCCCCAGCCCCTGGCTGAGAGCGGCAACGAGCCCTGTGTGCGGCAGTGCCCCGACTCCACCACTGTGATCCAGCCACCCCCCGTGGTTGTCACCTTCCCTGGGCCCATCCTCAGCTCCTTCCCTCAGGATTCAGTCGTGGGATCCTCCGGAGCCCCCGTCCTCGGAGGCTCTAGGGGCTCCCTGGGTTATGGGGGTTATGGATCCCTTGGCTATGGGGGTTATGGATCCCTGGGCTATGGGGGATATGGATCCCTGGGTTATGGATCCCTTGGCTATGGGGGATATGGCTCCCTGGGCTATGGGGGTTATGGATCCCTGGGTTATGGTGGTCTGTGGGGCTATGGAGGCTCCTCCCTGAGCTCTGGGGGGCTGTGGGGCTGTGGGGGCTCCTCCCTGGGTTCCCGGGGTCTGTATGGCTATGGCAGATCCTTTGGCTTTGGCTCTTGCAGCCCTTACTCCTCCAGGTACAGCAGGTACAGCCGCGGCAGCTGCGGGTCCTGCTGAGCCCCCCAGGCACATCCCTGGACCGAACAGTGCTGGCAAATGACACAACCTGGATCCTCCACTCAGCTCCTGAGCAAGGGGC